GCATCAGAGATGGATAATGGGGTGGCCCATACGGGAAACGCAGGAAGAGCCGGACCATTGCCGAGATTAGGAGGACACGCATCGCCCGCTGTCACCGCACACGAAACCACGAATGCAACGAACAAGAGGGGACTACTGTTTGCGACAGAACAGACACATCGGAGAGCAAGCCGGCTAACAGGAATTTCTCTATAGGGTCCCATCTCCCCCCGCTTCCGTGGCGAGCACGCCCTTCGCCGCTACCCTTCCGGTGAGGAGCGCTGTATCGCCTGCAAGCTTTGCGAGGCCATTTGCCCTGCCCAGGCCATCACCATCGAGGCCGAAGAGCGCGCCGACGGCTCCCGCCGCACCACAAAGTACGATATTGACATGACCAAGTGCATTTACTGCGGTTTCTGCCAAGAGTCGTGCCCCGTCGACGCCATCGTCGAATCCCCCAACGCCGAGTACGCCACCGAGACCCGTGAGGAGTTGCTGTACAACAAGGAGAAGCTGCTGTCCAACGGTGACAAGTGGGAGCCCGAGCTGGCTGCTGTTATCCGTGCCGATGCCCCTTACAGATAAGACTGGGTTTCTTCACCTACACGCAAGAAAGACAGAAATAAATTTCTCTGGTCGAGGGCTTGGTGGGGACGGTCGTGGTGAAGAGCGGAAAGTCGAGGAATCACCCCCTTTTTTGGGCCTTTTTGCAACTTTAATGCCTAAAGGATGGACACATCAAGGCGGACGCGAGGGGACGACGGCCGGAGGACAATGAGGACAATGAAGGGCCGCGGCAGCAGTGATCTTGGCATGTTGTGTATTTCTACAGACAGGTCGGGGTTGGTTAGACTTGTGTAAATATCTCTCGCGAAAAGCAACCTTTTTTCTTTGTCTGTTGACCACCGTCGCCCCCGATCTTGTGTGATGGCATCGCAAAAAAGGCATCACATTGACAATGTCATTGCGTTTCATACCATTTTCTTCTTCATGTATGTCATGTAGTTTCGCATCACGTTAGGACGGGGCGTTTAGGTTGAATTTCGAGAATATGATTATTAGTGCAGCTTTATAAACAAATGTCTCTACCAAGTGTTGTTCATCACGCGTGACCTCGTGGGTTGACATTCACGGCGAAAAGATACAATCCAACCAACGCCTTGCTCTGATATCATGGGCCAAGCTTCAGCAACGCCAGCGACCTTTGAAATGACACGCTTCCGTTTCTTTTGTGTTTCCCCCGCCTTGATACCGTGTGGATATCCTTTCTTTCAACGTCTTCCTCATCATCGACATGGCCACGTCCTTTACATCCTTATGCCTCTACGCAAATCTCATCATCATCAAAACGTCTTCTCCCAAGCCCCCCACCAAACACCCATGTTTGCGGCCACGACCAGATCCAACATCTTCAGCCCCTCGGGGTAGATAATCAGCTTGCCCAACTTGGCTCTCTTCCCCCTGTTGCCGCCCCCGGCCCTCTCCTTGCCGAGCTTCAGATCAAACGGGCTAGGCGGCTCGTCCTCGTCGCTATACTCGCCGGTCCGGTTACCGACGTTGAGAAGTCGGCTAAAGTGCCCGCTCAGCTGCTCCCTCTTGCCCTCCTGTTTGAAAATCTCCGTGCTGGGCAGATTAAACCGCAACTCGCTCACGCTAGCCGAGTATGACGACGAACTCGACGGCGCGAGCGGGTTACTCAGTCCGCCGGCCGTGGGGAGGACGTGTCTGCACTTGACACTGCGCCCGGCGTTCCCCGTACGGAACTCGCAGCGGCCGTCCCAGGGCGAGACAAACACATAACCTTGAGGCCGGAGGCCGTGGCCCGGCTGGGTGATGATGGGCCCCGAGTCGCTTCCGTTAGAAGAGGCGGAGCCCGTCGAGTGTGCGCTCAACTGGCGTGAGTGGCGGTGAGTAGACCTCGCTGGCGGCGAACCAAAGGGGACTGAGTCGCCTTCGTCCATCAAGCTGCCTGAGCGCGACCGGGAGCTGAACTTTTCGCGAATGTTGGAGGACCAGGATTTGGCGTAGGACATGACGACTTGGCGTGAGAAGCCACCCTCGGGATACTGCTGTTGCTGCTGCTGTTGCTGTTGCAGGTGGTTGAGCGCGTCTTCCGAGTTTGCAAAAGGGGGAGCAGTTGTCGTCGATGTCCGTGGCATATCCACGCTCTGGCGCAGAGGCATGTGGCGGAACTTTGCGTAGCCCGAGGACTCGAGGCGGATGTTGATGGGAGGTTGAGGGGCGTTTGCGCGCCGGCGGTCGTGAGCCGAGAGACCTGCCGAGTCGAAGGAGAAGTACTCGTACCCGTCGTCGCCAGAGTCCTCGAGCTGGTGGGACGCGACGCGGCCTACGTTCCACTGGTTCCCCGTGCTCGGGTCGCGGCGGATGAGGGAGAGGGTATAGGGGACCTCTTTTGTGTTGTGGAAGCGGTTCGGTGAGGGAGAGCGAGATTGTTGGCGATAGACGGAGGTCGGACGGGAGTAACGACGCGAACGCGCCGGCGACGAGGAGAGTTCCTGCTGCGGCGGCAGACGGGACGGGGACTGGGAGGGAGAAGCGCGGTGGAGATCTGTCGGAGGAGGCTGAGGGGGTCTGGAGGCAAAGGGCGCGTCGTAGTCGGGTGCCGGGGTCGGGATGGCTCGCGGGCCGACGGGTTTGCGTACGGGAGGGGCCGGAGGTGAGTGGGATGTTGGTCGCGGAGGAAGCTCCGGGCGGTCCTCTGTCCACCGGGGTTGGCGGGGGTCGTTGCCCGTGCCGTAGCCGATGCCGTACCCCGTCGCATTCCCGGTGCCGTAGCCGTAGAGGCCTGAGTTGCGGTTGCCGGCGGCCGCTGGATGTGAGCCTGGCGTCGGAGGTTGTGCCTGAGTTTGAGCCTGTGTCTGAGGGGGCAGATGAGCGCGGGCTGGATCGGCTGGCGGTGAGGGCACCTTTGCGCCTGCGACGGGTTTCCTCCGGATCTGAGCCGTGCTGCGGGTGCTGTCCATGCTAGACCTAGGCGTGTCCGGGTTCCGTAGATGGTGAGGTTGCTGAGATCCAGCAGCCGCTAAGTTTGGGTGGTATGGGTGGCTACCGTCACTGGGCAGTTCCAGGTGGATGTAGTAAAATGAGTTTGCGACATCTTCGCTGGTGACATTTTTGAGATGCGGTTTTGAGGTTGTCAAGATGACGTCTGCGGGGGTTGATGCGTTAGAAGTTTGTGATTATGAGATTTGACTTGAGAAAGTGAGATCGAAGATGAGAGAGAGGCTTACCTCGCGTGCCAGGCACTCGTGAGATGTAGAGTGTGAGGGGATCTTGACGTTGCTCGGCTGGTCTGTGAGGGTATTGCGGGGGGTTTGCGGCGAGATAATTGAGCGAGGCCAGAGACCTAGCCTCAACTTGTGTAGACATATTTTTTTTCAAAAGAATGAAGACTCTTTTTGTTCCGCTTCAAGTGTGCCCAAGTAGAGGGGCAGGAGGAGGAAGTTGTGAGTATATCTGGCTCGATGCAGGTCGGCGGAAGGATTCCCGGGTGGTTAAGTGTTTGTTGTGGTGGTGTGGTGTGGTGTGTGAGTGAAAAGGGTGGCTGAGCCAAGAGGTGATGTGAGGCGGGAGGTTCACAGCCCACCCGCACTTGAAGGGTACTCGCGGTACGGAGAGTATTCCCTTGTGCCTTATGGATACTCAACTCAAGGGCCAAATGCCGTGGACGACGGGGGAGACCAGGGAGCTGGCGCTGTCAAATGTCACGGCTGGAGCTGGTGTGGGTCGGGAAAACGGGGTTGTGATGGAGAGAGTTTGTAAAAAGGTTGAGCTCAAATGAGGGAAAAGATTTACTTCATCTGGTAAATCTCACTTGGCTCGGTCTCTCTCTCTTTCGGTTTGTATACGGCGGTGGCTAGGTGAGGGTGTTGGTGGTGAATCTTTTTTTTTGTACAATGCGAGTGAGATTGGTGAGTGTGATGAATTTGGCGATGCAAGAGTGAATATCGAATGCAGAGCGCTGTAAAGAGTATCGCGTGGTTGGTGATGGTGGTGGATGAAATCTGAGCGAGATGTGATCGACCTGCAGCTACAGGAAGGGTGGTTGGGGGCGTTTGGATTAAAGATGGCGAGGGCTTGACGTGGACGCAGTCTTGCAGAAAGATGAGCAAGAAGAGGAAGAGGGGCGAATAAGAGATACTAATATCGCGCGTGTTGCCTGGTGGGTACGCAGCGTATACGGGTATCTTGCTGCTCGTTGCTCCAGTTGTTTGCTCGCGTGTCTTCGTAAAGAGTGGGAGTAAAGCGAGGGAGTGAGAAGTGGTTGGCTCGTTGTGCTGGCGATGAGGTGTACCTTACTTTCGTTCTTCTATTGTAAGTGCTGTGAGGCGAGTCGACCCTCAAAGAAGAAACGAGAAAAATAGAAACGACGGGCAGGACAAGGGAAGCAAGTCCCCGGATCTGCAATAGCGGCGCGGAAGGGATGTACGGGAATATGGTGCCTGGCGAGCCGCAAGAAAGGGGGCCTGTCGTGTGGTCTTCTCTCTTCTTCCAAGTTGACAAGACAGACAAGCACAAAAGTTGCTGGGGTGCGTCGGCACTGTTTGGATCGCTTTCAACTGCGGAGACCGACGATTCCTTGGTAAGAAGCGTAGAAGCGAGCTTTCTGCTTGATGTTTGTCTCTCTCTCTCTCTTTCTCTCTCTGTCTGTCGACTTGGCGGGCTGAGACTTATCCAATGGCAAAAACGAGTCGTAAGCTGGATGTGGCTGTGCTGTGCTGTGTTGTGCTATGCTGAGCTGCGCTGCACTGCGATATGATCCAAAGGTAGCGAGATGGCGGCGCTGGTGACCTTGCAGCGCGGTGCCGTGTACGTGTCCGTTCCGTAACCTTGGTGATGAAAGGTCTCGAAGGCCTTCTTTCTTGGTGCCGGCGCCGGTGCGCAGTTATTTGATTCCTTCTGAAGCTTTTCTAAAGCTCGGGAGTAAAGCCCAGTAGGGAGACTTTGCACCAATGCCGTGACGGGTTCGGAGTCAGCGACGGCACCTGAAAAGGCTGAAATTAATGATCTGGGCTTGACAGGGTCCAGAGCTTTGTCTTGTGAAATGAGAGTGGGCAGTGGGTGGTTTGTGCTGTTCTTGGCATGAGATGGGAAAATGAGGTTTGAGCAGAAGTGAAGATGCTCTGCCAACGATTTTGGTGGGAGGCAAAGCTGTTTCCCCTCTTTTCACGTCTCGATGCTTCAGAAGTTCGGTCTGAACTCTGTATGCATCGGAGAGTTGCGATATGCATGGAAGATCTTCTCGGGAGGATTTTGGGGGACTCGAGGCGGGAGGAGAGGGGGATTGTGCTATTTTTCGCATGCTTTTTTGTCGCGGAACTCTGCAGAATCCTCGTGTGGGTGGCCTTCTGTACACCAATACATGGGTAGCAGTAAGTGAGATGGATAGACTATCCGTACGTACACGACTACCTACCTTACGGATACAGACATTAGACAACGGCCATCCACCCTGCCTGAGAAGTAAGTGAGAACTGAGCAGCCCTGCCATCTCGCATGCCTCAGCTCTTGCTCAAACTAGCTCCAGAGCTTGATCGAGGCTGTTTGTGCTCCGCGACTGGCTACGAAATGTCTCGCCTCCTACACGGGATGACGACCAAAGGTCTCGGATTCCCTCCTAACGGTCCCACGAACGCCTGAGATTGTCCACGACTGAAACAAAACTTCCCAATGATCGTGCCGCAGCCGCATTGAAGATCGCTCTCTAGTGGTCCCTATTCCATACCTGAGTATATGTCGATGAGGGGATGTTGCGGTCTATAGAGGGTTACATTCCTATGCGGGTAGGGCCAGGAGATGCTGGAGACAAAGGGGCCCGAGCTGTGAGGAGCTTTCCGTTACGAGGATGTCCTCTGCACAAGAGGTTTGCAGCCCATTTGACTCTGACGAATAAGCACATGCGCGTGAAGATGAACGTCACTTGAAGGGCACCCACAGGCTCTTCGGAGCTGGGCAGTCAAAGCAGTCTCAATCTCAAGAGTCAGCTATCGTAGGGCTCCAACGGGGGGCATCCTTTCATTAGCACGGCCAATCCCATCCCCGTCCCATGGAAGGCCTTGCGAGTCGTTACCGAACAACACAGTCATCTCTTAAATACTTCCAAGTTCCTGAGTGGCACAGTGGTTGATGAAATGTGGCATGGCTATACAAAGATTGGTTCAACAACCAATGCCCGTATACCCGTACACATAGTCAAAAGCCGCCTCAAAAGATCAAGCTTCACACGACTGTGACGCACCGCACCGGATCTTCGGTCGTGTCCACGTCAACTTCAAGGGTCCAGGTCCGCTGTGGCGTCGATGAGACTACACGCAGTACTGTGAAACTGTCCACAAACGCCCGCGCATGCCGCGAGACCCTGGAGACGGCAACGCCAGGGACCCCGACCGACGTCGCGGGTGTTATCCCCTGTGCCTGGGCCTTTAGCTGGCTGACTGTGCCGTGGGAATGTCAAAAGACTTTGCGCTGAGCCACACTCGTGCCCCTGGAAAACTCGCCGTGTGCCAACTTTGCTTGTCTCGAAAGCCCTTAAGTAAGCTGAGACTCTTCCCTACTGTGTATGTACATAGAGTCTAGCTTCGGCCTCTTCGCTGACTCGGAACTGAACATGCTGCCGACGAGCGAGGCATGTCCATGCCGGCCAGCTGGCAGGTGGGAACTCGTCAACCTCGAAGGCTTGGGTCTCCCAGCTTCGTCTCGCGGACGTGGCTGACTGCTCACCTGTCGACCGTTCCAAGGCTTGATGCCCCCTTATTTCCGCGCCAGCCGTTCTGTCAATCATTTTGGTTGCACTACCTGCGCGCACACGATCATGATCATGGCGGGCGACGTTGACGATGATGCGTACGAGGGAGGTTAAGGTTGATGGTGATGTCACTCACCCCAGCAAGATGGATATCAATGGAGACGGTCAACTAGATTTGCTTGTCTCTCTCTCTCTCTCTCTCTCTCTCTCTCTGTGCGTATCTGTGCTATTTTTCGCAGTGTTCGTCACCAAGGATGTTGATCCATGACGAATCCTATGATCTCATGCGACGAACACCTCCACCATGGCGGTGACTATGTGAATCCTCATGATCCAATGCCCAGATTGAAAGCCTTGAGCATAGCCGGGCGTCCAAATGAAACCCTCACCTTCTTGGCATGGAGACTGCGGTGGGTTCATACTGTGATGACTGTGTACACATGTCAGAACGGTCGAGTTGTCGGCTACAGACCGGTAAGAAGATCTGGCCATTGACATCGTCTGCCCGTCATTCCGGAGGATTCAACGGTCAATCTACGGCGATCTTGGAGTCTGGGGGATCCAAAATAGGTGGGATGAAAACCCAAGCAGACGGCACGGCAGTTCCCAAGTTTCCACCGGTCGCCAAGGAGGTTCCAAGACCGGTCCCGTCACCCCGCAACCAACTCGACTTGTGAAAAGATGGCCGTGTGCAGATGCATCCGGCCGCGTGCGTGCGCGACTACCGAAGACCGAGAGAGAGAAGAGAAAAACAGAGTTTCGGCACCCGACGATGCGAGGTTGAAAATCTGCCCGGCACCAACACTTTAACTTTCTCTCTTGACTTATATCGTTGTTCAAGTACGAATCGAGTGCGAAAATGTCCTCTAAAAGGAATTGAATACCGCCTCGTTGAATTCATCGTTTCCAAACGCTCACCGGCTGTTTTTCCCCATTCAGTCCTACTGACTCTACCCCTTTGTTTTAAAGAAATTGATTGCTTACGTCACATGGCGGTTATGCGGCAGACGCCCACTTACAAGACCGGATTACGGATAGTCCGTCATATCCCGTTCGACTTTTCACTCGAGAAGGTCAGGGGCTCACTTTGTTTATCAGTACTGACTGCGATTCATGACTCTTTACTCGTGTTGATGTGCTTGGCAACCCAGTCGTGGGAATCGCTGCCACCAGATTTTACCTCAAACGCAAACTCAACAGATTATCAACTTCATCTACTACGTACGATTATTCGTCGTTAAAGCCAAAAGCCAACGCATAGTCCTTCAGACCAAAATGTAACATGCCCATTACTGACAATTGATCGGATACCACCCCGATATCCATGGTCCCTGCTGACCCAAGAGCCGCGCTACCACTGGTGGGAGAATGTATGACTCCAAAAGTAGATTGGCTTCGTGACATCGTGGTTCGGTCCAACTGCCGACTTGGCTTGTGGAGGATCCCAAAGAAGAATTCCTCCTTCAGACTTCTCCAGCATGAAGCTAAAGTCATGAGCCCTCTTCGGATTCGCTTCCCTTGATATGGCTAACCGGCAATCCGGGAGAAAAAGGTCATTCGCCTACGAGGCTCGAGATCCATTATATATTGTTTCTAACTTTCTAGAGTCTGCAAATAAGAGCGTAGTATCCGCCATAGAAGCGTACCTTGAGACTTTTTGAAAGGGCAGTAATTTCCCGCCTATCGTACTCGGTTTGCCGCCACTGACCCGACAAGTTGGGCGTTTGGAAGCTATAATGGTCTCAAATAAGGGGCCACCTTATTCCAGACTCGGCCGAGCATGGCAGGGCTCGACTCGGCTAGTGTTTCCAACAAACAACTACAACGCCATTTTTGGCCCCTCTTTCACGACGATGGACCAACAGGAAAGATTCTTCCATCGAATCCAACGATGTTCCTCCGGAATTTTACATACCATGTTCTTGTCGTCCGAACCGATCCACCACTCTACTCCGGGCCCCTCAACGTAGCATCCTCTGCCGTGACCCTAGTCTTGGACGACAAACATACGCGATGGACTACTCCGTGTATTGCTGTACCCATCAGGAATCCGAATGGAGAACATCCCCGTCCATGCCAAAGTAGGCGGGCCAGAACACACTCCCTCTCCTTTTGGGAATCAACTGCGTTGCATCAAACTCCTCTCATCTCGTCAAGCGGCTCCCACGCTAGGAAAGTAGGGGACTGAATGGCCAAGACTCTGAATGTCCTGTATAAAGATGCCTCTCCTCGATCACCAGCCTCTCTGATCATGAATCTGTTCTCCAGCACATACGTTCACTTCTTCAGCCCTTTTAACAAACCTCTTACATTCGTTCTCCAATCCAGTCCTTCGCTTCTTCAAAACAACCCACTACCGCAACCATGCAGTTCGCTACTTTCCTCTTGGCCGCCCTCCCGGCCACCACCATGGCCTTCCCCGGCCTCTTCCGCCGTGAGGAGCCCTCCAACAACGTCGCCAAGCGCGACTCCTGGGGCGGCGCCGTCTCCCTCGGCCCCACCACCTCCACCATCATCAACGCCGTCACCTACCTGACCCCCGGTGCCGCTCCTCCCACCCAGGCTGGTGTCCTCTTCCTCTGGCCCGGCATGTCCAACGGCACCGGCAACCTCGTCCAGACCACCCTCGAGTCGTGGCCCGACAACAGCTGGTGCGGTGCCGTCGCCGGCGAGTGGTGCGTCCGCGCCTCCGTTTTTGGCTCTTTCGGTCAGATCGACAGCACGACCTCTGCCCCCGTCAAGGGAACCCAGAAGATCAAGATCGAGTACGACCTCCTCGACGACAACGACACCTGGCGCCAGACCGTCACCGACACTGCCACCAACAAGGTCATCAGCACCCTCGACCACAAGGACGGCCCCTTCATGAGAGGCTACGGAACCGGCACCGAGTGCAACGACGGCTGCACCGGCACCATTGCTGAGCAGATCTACTCCGACACCACCATCACCCTCTCCAGCGCCGATGCCAACTTTGGCAAGACCATTGGTGTCAGCCAGGGTGCCACCTACACCGGACTCGCTGCCAGCAACGGCAACAAGGTCTGGAAGATCGCCACCATCAAGGTCCCCAAGATGCAGTAAATGCGTTTGCAACGTAAGCCTGCGGCTACCACAAGAAGGATTGGTTTCACTGTACATACTACATAGTCTTTGACAGACTAGGAAGACGTGCCCATGGCTGCTTCCAGGTTCCATAATTCAACCTCTTGTCATGCAATACTTTGCTCCATCGCTATGACTGTGACTTTTGATGACAAATCGCCAACAGTAGAGACCAAACCATGTGATATAGAGTAAGCAGAATATAATAGTTTCAATGGCATGAATGATGTGTGGATTAAGCTTATGTTGTTTACCCCAGCTGTGCTAAACTCAAAATAAGGTTTGCGCGAAGGAGTGTGCGCTGGTGATAATATTTGGGTTATGCCTTAGTGAATCGTGTAGTAGGCAGTGCTATGACGTCTCAAGCAAGGGCAGTCTTAATTAGAAAGCTGGTTTGTGAAACTCGGGATTTAGGAAGCAGATCATCATGTTGCTTCAAGAGATAACTTCTTGCCATCGGCCAGCCCGAACATTGTGTTTCTGAATTTCTTGAAAATAGCGGCGACGATGGCGATGACTCGAATCGGGTTTTCAGCTCGGATCGGGTTATTTCTATTGCAGGCAACAGATTCTGTACCAAAATCATATTTATTACATGCATTATCCATATGAATGTAAATTTTCTTTTCTTTCAACTTTCCAGCAAAAATGGATGACCACGGTTAAAGACATAGGCGAATACTTTCCAGATAATTGTTTCATCTACTTTTATTACTCACCATTAAAAACCCTTTTTACTCGAAAAAATGCACTGAAGGACACAACTTAGAAGTCAAGTCCACAACTCCGCACCTAGTACAAGCATTTGACATGCATTTAAACCGACCTTGAATCCAAATCAGGCAGAGAGCAGAAGCCTCAATCAAGATAATTCATGTTCGTCTCTGTTCAAACCAAGACGGCTGTTTGGAAACCACATAATGTGTCTTGGGCATTTTGGTTGGCTACGGCAACGAAGTCAACCTCTGTCACTGCCCTCCATCATTCATCTATACCGATAATAGATAGGCTGAAGCACACAGTAGAATAACTGGTTTAGGTGGCCTGCAATTGCTATGGTAAATTCAGAGAGAGTGATCAGGACGGTTTGAAAGTATCTACAGCCATTCCAGTTGATGGGATATGGGAATGATCACCCAAAAAGAAAAAAAGTGAAATCTTAAGGGCGACTTTGGCTGATCTTGTTCAATGTATAGTCCGTGATTTGAAGAGTCCTTCTCCATGTGCTGTATAGGCCCTCAAACAGGGTTACGGTTGATGTAAGCCATCAATATCTCGGCATCTCGGTGTGGTGGTGAGGTGAGGACCTCGGTGTGTTGATATGCACGGTCAGCGGCCAAGATGTCGTCAGACCATTAGCCGGTACGTACCGTGCGGCTTTCCAGAGTCTCCACACCCCGCGATCTCGGACGCAGAACTGCACCTGCACGTCAAGCTTCCTCCAAAAAAAAAAGTGCCCGTCCAGCAGACAAACTCCAACACGCTCCGCAGATCCTCCCTCCTCCAAAATGTCGACCGCGACGAGTGCCACCGCGGCGACCAAGGATGAGTCGCAGCCCGTCAAGAAGGGCGGACCGACGGTCCTGCGATCCATTCTGGCTGGATCTACGGCCGGCGCTGTTGAGATTGGTGAGTCCCTCCACTCTTTGCGGTCCCCCGATGACGCACCAGCAAACAATGAAGACAGAAGACTGACTCTCCGGGCATAGCCATCACGTACCCTGCCGAATGTAAGACGACCACGATCGATCCCCGATTGCGATTGACTCTCTGACCCTTCCTCGACAGTTGCCAAGACCCGGTCGCAATTGAACCGAAACCTGGGTGCCGGACAGAAGCTGCCATGGCCGCCATTCGGAGCGCAATGGTACGCGGGATGCACCACGTTGATCATTGGCAACTCGCTCAAGGCGGGCATTCGTATGTGGAGCAGCTATCCTGGAGCAATTGCCTCGTGCTAGCTGACGCCCGATGTACAGGATTCGTTGCCTTTGACCAGTACAAGACGCTCCTTTCCGACGCCGACGGCAACATCTCTGGGCCGAAGACGGTCATCGCCGGCTTCGGCGCCGGTGTGACGGAGTCGGCCCTTGCCGTCACTCCCTTTGAGAGCATCAAGACTACGCTGTGAGTCTTCTGCTCCACTACATCGACGGCAATG